TGTTGGGGGCCCATACAGCTCTTATCACCATCCATCAATCCATCCATCCATCCATCCATCCATCCATCCATCCATCGTGTCAGCACATTTGTACATTTGCTGCCATCAGTTTCAAAACATTTTCTTTCTACCCCTTCGTATCAGCTCGTTTTTACCCCACCCTCCCTCCCTTCGGAACCCTTGATAATTTATAAATTGTTACTATTTTATCTGCTGTTTTAAGAGAAGAAATTGAGGTCAAGTCCTAAGCCCAAGGTCATCAAACTGATACACTGGGAGGGCTGCGCACTGGGGTCTGGCTGACTCCCACCCCCCGGCCTCTGCCTGCTGTGCAGAGGGTGGAGGGAGAGGACCTGCTGGGGAAGGGCTGGCTTAGTGGCGCAGAAGAACGGACACATCTGACCTTGCTCCACTTCCACGTAGCTGTGAGATTCCCGGTGGGGAGTCACATTCTCCCCACCTGCAAGTGGCAGGCAGCTCAGGCCATGGGGGAGCCAGAGACTGGGAGAAGGCAACTCAGCTGGCCCCCTACCCCGTAGGTCACTAACTCACTCTTTCTCTCATAGTCTAGCCACCATGACTCCAGGCTCACAGGGAAGTGGTAGGATGCAGATTACAGCAATCTCCTGGGCCCTGAAGAACGCTGACTCGGGCTTGTAGTGCTGTGACTCCACAGGCTGAGAAGGAACAGGGTCAAGTAAGAGGGCGGGGTGGGGCTTGGGAGAAGACAGTGGGAGCAGGTTAGCATGCTGAGGAAGGAGAAGGGACAGGGCTCCTGCAGCCTGTGAGGCGTGATCATTCATTTCACACACTTGGACTGGGGGGCCTGGCGTCCAGGGAGTCCAGGGCTACCCCCTAACCTCAAGTCCCAAACTCTGGCTCTCCCACTTTTCTGTTGAGATGATGCTCCCCCAGCAGCGGCTTCTCTCAAAAGTGAGGCTATGGCTGCCCCAACTGTGCTCACAGGATCCATGCATGGGGAGCATGGGCAACAAGAGCTTTATAACATTACAGGGATTTATAAATCAAGGCACTGTAACTGCCCCTCTGTAATGTCAAGGTGCTAACTGAAAGGTCAGCAGTTCGAAACCACCAGCTACTCCGTGGGAGAAAAACGAGGCTTTCTACTCCTGTAAAGAGTTGGTCTCAGAAACCCACAGGGGCAGTTCTACCTTGTCCTCTAGGGTCACTGTGAGTTGGAACCCACTCGATAGCAGTGAGTTTGGTTTGGTGTAAAGGAAGGTGCTTCGATGGAACAAACAGTAAGATATTCAGCTACAAATGGAAAGGCTTGCTGATGGTTGGAATCCACCCAGAGGTGCTTTGGGAAAAGGCAGGGAGATCAGCCAATGAGAGCCCCGGGGGTGGGCGGGGGCACAGTTCTGCCCAACACACGTGGAGCTGCCGGGGGTCAGTCAGCACAACAGGGACCGGTTTGGTCTTTTTTTTTTTTCTTCAACGACTAAAGCCAGGAAAAGTCCAAATCATTTCGAGAGGCGAGGAAGAGTCTCATAGAGAAGGAGGGGGTCCTATCCCACCCCAAGCCCCACCTCGCTCCATCAGCCAGTGTCACAACTCTGCTTGGACTCTAATCTCTGGAGGCCACACGAGGCTACCTTCCCGCTGGAGCGCTACCACCTTGCTCCTTTCTTTGAAAGCACACCCAAGAGAAAGGAATGGGTCCCCCCCAAGACTGGCCAGCGTCCTCCCAGGGCACCCAAAGGACCCCTCAAACCGCAGCGCATCACTAAGGAGGTAGGTGAGTGTGGCCAGAGCCCAACAGCTGATATGCAGGCAGGTCTCTGCTCAGCCCCTGCAGCACAGGCTGATAAGAGAAATCAGGTTGGTCACAGAAGTCCAGAGAGATAAAAACTTGTGATCCAGCTGTCGACCCAAACTCGAAGTGTTTTCTGTCATCCTGTGAAGTAACTGTCTCGCTTGGAAGATCGTAGAATTAAGGCAATATGGACTGTCCAGAAGTAGCCAGAAAACCTCAAGGGGGAAAAGCACAAGCTACGGCACTTGTAAGTAGCATCCATGAATGGGGAAGTTGGCCCAGGACACTGAACTACAGGAATGCCAAGGACTGAAGAGACTTCCCTCCCTTTCTCCACTGTAGATAGCAAGAGTCAGACCGGCCTGGGAGAGTCAGACTGCTGCTTCTCATTACGGTAGTCTCTGGCCTATACTTTGGCCACATAACAAACAACCTCCCGGCTTGGTCGGAGACAGCAGCCATTTTTGCACACCTAAGTCCCAAGCAACAGACAAGGATCACATGTCAGTCCAGGTCGTCTCCTGGAAGGTTAGGGGGACAGCACTGTCAGATGCATCTGGGGCTTCCTTTAGCCGATGTGCAAAAAGTATGAGTCACTACAAAAATGAGCACACAAGGCAGCCAGAGCTGCCACTGGGCTCTAGACTCATTTCTCTGCCAGCTGCAGTTTTCCAAACCCAGACAGGAACCCTGGGAGGTAGGCTCAAAGTGGGGCAGACCTGTTGCTCATCTCGAGGGAGTTAATTAGTATGTGCGAAGGTAAATAAGAGATGGCCCAGGACCCT